AAAAAAAAAAAAAAAAAAATAGCCAGGTGTTGCAGCAGGCGCCTGTAGTCCCAACTGCTTGGGAAGCTGAGGCAAGAGAATAGCTTAAGAGTTTGAGGTTGCTGTGAGCTGTGACTCTACGAAGGGTGACATAGTAAGATTCTGCCTCAAAACAAAAGGGCGGGGGTGAAGCTAAAGCAGTGCTTAGAGGAAATCTATAGATCTAAATGCATACATCAGAAAAATTGAAAATCAATGACCCAAGCTTCCCTATTGGTAAGCTGGAAAAGGGACAGCTTTGAACCCTAAGTAAGCAGAAGGGAGGAAATTATAAGTGCAGAAACTGGTGAAATGGAAAGCAAACATATGATAGAGAATGTCAACAGTGTCAAAAGCTGGTTCTTTGAACAGATTAATAAAATATTAACAACGTCTGTTTTCTCTCAAGAAATTAAGAGAAAAAAATATAAATAACCTATACCAAGAATGCTATTACAGAAAGCGAATAAGATATTTTTAAACATATGAATTCCTTTTTAACGAAACCCAAATGTCAACCATCTTCTCATTCTACTGCTTCTGTGTCCATGTGGAACCTGTGTATCCATGAGGAAAGCAGAACTCAGCAACTTTGCTAATGCCTCCTCCACTCATCAAAATAGAATTGCATAGTATTTTTTTTTTTTGGTGCAGCTCAATGAAATCAATTGTTCCACATGTACTAGTTTGAATGGAATTAAATGTGGTAGAATAGAAAAGAACAAAATAGCATAAGGTAGAAAAGAATGGAGTGGAATCCAATCAAATTGAATCAAATCAAATCAAGTAAAATATCAGTCACATTGTGCCACGTGCTATGCCAAATTGTTGTAGTAGATATTCATTTATTGAACAAATATTATATTTTTTGAGACAGAGTTTCAATGTGTTGCCTTCAGTAGAGTGCTATGGCGTCACAGCTCACAGCAACCTCAACTCGTAAGCAATCACTTAAGCAATTCTCTTCCCTCAGCCTTCCAAGTAGCTGGGACCACAGGTGCCTGCCACAATGCCTGGCTATTTTTGTTGTTGTTGTTATAGTTGTCATTGTTGTTCTGCAGGCCCCAGGCCAGGTTTGAACCTGCTAGCCATGGTGTATGTGGCCAGCACCCTAACCACTGAGCTACAGGCATCGAACCTGAACAAATGTTATTAAGCTAGTTGTTTGGGAAACAGTGGGGAGCAGAACAGAGAGAAGCCCCTACTCTTATGAATCTTACATTCTAGTCAGGGAGACAAGTAATTAGCATCTGTAAAGGCCCTGAGTCTAAAGGTAAGATTTGGGGGGTCATGGTAAGAAGTCTAAATTTTAACAAAATGACCACAGCATCAGCAGTGGCATTATTCTTTTTATAACCACTCAGTGTACATCAGGCATTGTTCTAGACAGTAAAAATACAATTCTGTTTTTTTTTTTTTTTTTTTTTTTTTTTTG